TTGTATTATTTTTCTTAGAAAGGACCCAACCTAAATTGTATAAATTGCAAACCCTACAAATCCTGGATTTCTCTCTTAGAGTGAACTGTTGCTGATTAGATGCTATTCTTAGCACCACAAGAATTAGTGAATGAATGAAAGAAGTGCTAAAGAGATGTTTTCCTCCCTAATTCGTGCAGCTGGGTGTTTGTGGTGAGGAGGTGAGGTGGTGGGAATTGTACAAAACCCAGCAAAGAAACTCTCACGGAAGATTTTATCTAGCATGAGCCCTGACTTTTCTTACTTTTGTCAGGAACCGGGGGAGAGGGGAAGGGTGAGTAGGAAAGAAATCCTACTCATAGAGGTCTCAGGGACTTTCAGGTCTGCTTAGGTGTTGGCCATCTATATGATATTAACCACTTACTCATGTAAGATGTAGGAAATGTTATTAAATATCCTTTTATTAAAACTTCTGTCTTGTGGCATCAGTTTTCTTGCCCAAATCTTTCTTATTGACTATTTTGGAATTGTATACTATACAACTGTTGATGAGTAGCAATTTTGTGAGTTGGAATCTTCTCGATGTCAGATTGAGAGCTTATTTTTTTTAATCTACATGCATAGAGGAAACTAGGAAATAAAATCTCTAACCTAGCTTGGGTGAAATGGGAAGTAGCTCTTTTATTTATAAAACCCCAAAGGTAAAAACAAATTTTATGAACTAGCACACTCTGATTAACTCTGAGGTTTTAGTTTTATCACAGTTTGTCCCTTCCCTGAAAAGTATTGAAATGAGTGTTTGGAAAATTGAAATTCCACTAGAAAAAGATTTTTTTAGTCCGGAAACTATTTTTTAAAGTAGTTTCCATTGGAACTGCTTTGCTGTAAAAGTTACTGGAATAATTTTTATTTTATGCTGCTAAAATCATTCACTTCTGAGACTCCGTTCTTGACTTTTCCACCCTCCCCATCCCTATTTGAGTTAAATGTCTGTTTCCTCTGTTGTTCCTTTTCTGTACTAAATTCCAAATATTTTTTGCTTGGCTTACATTAAGAATTTTACCAACAACAGTGAACAAGATACCCTATGCTAAGAGCAGTCAGAAAAATATACAGTCTTTATAACCTGATTACACACAATTTTTATGCTTTTAAAAATCATTAGAACTGGTTGATAAGAGGGTGAAAGAAAATCAGTAAGAACTACCTAAAAGTTAAAGTATGAGAAGAGATGTTGGTTCAAAAATCTATTAAAAGAAAAAATTTATCTGCTTGTACAATTTTTTTCAACCTCCCAATTCTCTTCTTCGGTACATATGTAATACTATTGACAGAACCGACTCCCGCTATGGTAACCAGCCTTTGAGATGACACCTCAAAGATCTATGCCTTCCAGTATTCATGCATTTGTTTAGTTCCCTTCCTGAGGGAGTCAGGGCCAGCCCTGTGTGATCAACAGAATCCAGTGGAAGTGATGTGTGATTTCTGAAGTTACATCGTAAGAGGCCTTGCAGCTTCTGCCTTGGTCTCATGGAACATTTATTCTTGGAGCCTTCAGTATGGTGTATGAAATATGACTAACTTAAGGCTACCTTGCTAGGGAGATCACATGGAGAAGCTCTGAGATTTCATGTAGAATGATTCAGCCATTTGAGTCATCCTGGCTGAGGCTTTGGATGCCGCATGAAACCAGAGTTGAGCTGTGCCCACTGAGCCCTGCTTAAATGGCAGATTCATGAGGAAAATAAATAATCGTTGTTTTAAGCCATTAAGTTTGTTATGCTGCAATGGATCATGGAAACACTCCTCTCCTCCCTTCTCCTTCACTTGCAAAGTGTTTCCCTAGGTGAGTGCAGAGTGAGCAAGCCTGTGTCAGGTCAACTCAAGAAAAGGGACTTTTCCAGCTGCTGTTGCTGGGGTACTTGGCTTATTCATGCTGTGAAGATATATGTTGTCAGGACTGTCTTCTGAGAGGTAACAATGTCACTTCCGTGGTCAAGAAAAACAGGGGACCCAGACCATGTCTGGAGCCTGTGGCCAGGTGCAAACCCACAACCCAACTTTTTAATACAGATTAATATCTATCTGTTTGGTTGATCATGAAGGGCAGCTTTCTATAGAAAAGAAGTCACAAGCGTATAAGTAGGAGGAGGAATATAAGCAGAAGGAGCGACCAATTTCTGTCTGGACTCTGCAGAGTTAGGGCTGCCAGCACATGTGCCCTTTCCAGGACCTGCTTCCCACTTGTGTTTGCAATATAGAACTCATCCTTGTGGCTGCAGCAATTAGACCAGGGGTGCACAGTTGACCGGTGGGTAACCATTCTATTGATTGGCCAGCAGTTTATCTGGTTATCTCCCTTGAGAATCTGAACTAAGATATAAAGAAATTGTAGTATGAACTTGGACAGAAAGGCCATGAGGAATCAGGGTGGGATGACTGTTCTCAGCTATGCGTATGCTTTTGGTCAGGGGTGATGGTGAGATGGGATTTAACAGAAAGGGGATTTTATCGTTACTTTTGTTTAAGGGTCCCTGAAAAGATCACTGTTGGATATAGATTTTGTTTTAGGTTTAAGTCTCTCATTAATGAATACTTCAAAACTATGAGAGTTTTAGGGATTGTTTCTCTAAAATTAGTTTTGTTGTTTGTTCATTAAGAGGAACAACATCACTGTGGGACAGAGCTCCATAGGAATCAGAAGGCCTAAGCAGGTACTTCTTTACTTCTTTCTTTCAGATGAATCAGAAAGGAACAAATTTAGGAGGAGGGAGCACTGGACAGCACAGGCTCTGGATTTTTATAGAACCTGTCTAACCACTCTCATTGTGACCACAGGTTAGTCCCTTCACCGCTGTGGACCTCTGTTTCCTCCACTGTACTATGCAGCAACGGATCGAAATTTTAACTTTCTATGAATATAAAACATCTAAGGGTCTCATCCAAAACATCCTCACACAGACTTTTTTTTTTACATCTTTATTGGAGTATAATTGCTTTACAATGGTGTGTTAGTTTCTGCTTTATAAGAAAGTGAATCAGTTATACATATACATATGTTCCCATATCTCTTCCCTCTTGCGTCTCCCTCCCTCCCACCCTCCCTATCCCCCCCTCTCCAGGCGGTCACAAAGCACTGAGCTGATCTCCCTGTGCTATGAGGCTGCTTCCCACTAGCTATCTACCTTACGTTTGGTAGTGTATATATGTCCATGCGTCTCTCTCGCTTTGTCACAGCTTACCCTTCCCCCTCCCCATATCCTCAAATCTGTTCTCCAGTAGGTCTGTGTCTTTATTCCTGTCTTACCCCTAGGTTCTTCATGACATTTTTTTCTTAAATTCCATATATATGTGTTAGCATACGGTGTTTGTCTTTCTTTTTCTGACTTACTTCACTCCATGACAGACTCTAGGTCCATCCACCTCATTACAAATAGCTCAATTTCATTTCTTTTTATGGCTGAGTAATATTCCATTGTATATATGTGCCACATCTTCTTTATCCATTCATCCGATGATGGACACTTAGGTTGTTTCCATCTCCGGGCTATTGTAAATAGAGCTGCAGTGAACATTTTGGTACATGACTCTTTTTGAATTATGGTTTTCTCAGGGTATATGCCCAGTAGTGGGATTGCTGGGTCATATGGTAGTTCTATTTGTAGTTTTTTAAGGAACCTCCATACTGTTCTCCATAGGCTCACATAAACTTTTCATCTCACTCTGAGGAAGAAAAAGTGTGCACTGGGTGAAGACTCTGTTGCCTAAGATCTGGAACTTAAATTTACAGTAATTTCTAATACTTGAGCACATGCACTTTTCTTCCTGATTGTGCAATAAAAGGCAGGAAGTGAAAAAGGGAACATTCTTAATGCTCAAGTTAACTCAGAGGCTCATTTAGGACATACACTAGATGTGAATAAGTGTGGGAAAGCAGAAAGATAACCAAATTTGAGCCTAAACTAATCTGCATTTGATGTCTGACCAAATGCCAAAATACTGTGCTCAGAGAATTAAACCAACAACTTACCTTTTCTATTACACAAGCAATACATGTGTATTGCAGTAACATTCAACCCAAGTATAGCAAATGCTAATATTTAAAAAAAATATCTTCAGACAAACCCTATACCATTTGCTGAGAACAGATCTGATAGTTTATATGGCAACGCTTGTGTCCTCCACCAGGCTATAAACTCCATGAGGAGAACCCCTTTACCATTACTCTTTCCCCCACCCCACCACCTCTGCCCCACTTTAGTCACTTTCTTTGGGAAAGAATAGAGAAAGGTTGTAAATGTTTCCTTCACTAGTGTGCAAGCATTCATTCGACAAACGTTTTATTGAGCAACTAGTGTGAAGTTGAGCAAGGCTTGGGGGATTAAATAAAAGAAAAAGACAGGGCTTTTGGTCTCAAGAAATTCACAGTTCCAATAAGGAGACGATACAAAAACAATTATTTTTCTAAGTTCTTGTTCAATTTTAGAGTCATTCGTGGAAATTCTAAGAAAGCACATAAGAGAGGGCAAGGAGGGTCGGGAAGGTCTTTGGGGAAATTTCCCGAGGAGGTAACACTGGCCAGACGTGGGGTCGGGGAATGGGTGACGAAGAGTGAGGCATGCGAATTTCATGGCCCTTCCTGCGTCAGCAGGAATTCCTGTTCCCTCCCAATTGCATCACAAAACTTAAGTCTAATGTTCAACTACGGAGCTTGGAAACTGAGAACCTAGGGCAAAACGACCTGTCTGCCGAGGTTGCACTCCCTGCAGCGGGACAGCCCCGCTGAGTCCTAGGAGGGGCGGGGCAGGGTTGGGGGTGGTGGTGGCGATGAGTGCATCTGGGCCGACCGGGCCCGCCCCTGGGGGCTGGCGCAGGAGCCGGGCGTGGATTGGCTGTGTGCGTAAGTCGGCCTCTCTTCATAGGCCGCGCAGGGCTGCTCGCGGGACTTGGATTGGCTCCCAGGGCGCTGAGCGGTCATTGGCTGCGGTGGGTCGTCAAGGCGACTGAGAGGAAAAAGAGAAGGGGTTTTGGGCCTGGCCGGCGAACCGAGGCTGCGGGCGGTTTGGCGGTTCCGCGGGGCGGTGTCCGGAGTGCTGCGGGACCCGGGACCCCGGGGTTCACGCCACAACTCCAGGAGGTGCCTGAGCCAGCGCGCCGGCGAGGAGTAGTGGCTAGTGGGACCCCGCGGGCCGGGACCATGGGCTGCTTCTTCTCCAAGACGCGGAAGGCTGAGAAGGAGTCGCAGCCGGAGGGCGAGGAGGAGCGGCCGAAGCAGTACAGCTGGGACCAGCGCGAGAAGGTAACCAACGTCACGTAGTGGCTGGTCTCAGCCTTCCCGAGCCCGCTCGGCAAGGGTCCCCAGTGGCCGGGCAGCGCTGAGGGGGCGGACCCAGCAGCTGCCGCTCTTGCGCGCTCGCTCTCTCCCGCGAGTAGTTGAAGTCGGAGTGAATGACTTTTGGGGGAGCAGTGAAATTCAGCGTCAGAGAGGGCTCCACGGAGGGCGGTGCGGCGCTGGAAGGGGCCCTAGAGCTCATTGTCCAGGCAGATGGACACTTCGGGCTTTCCCTTCTCTGTGCACCCTGCCCTCCGGTCCAAGGATGGACTCCAGGGAAGGAAGGAGAACCCGGAATGCCCCAAATCTCACATCTCGTTTCACTCGCAGCTCCGAGCGGGGTTTTGTCCAGTCCTCGAGTTACACATGGAACTGATCTCATCTCTTTCGCGGCTTGTGTTCTTTCTGTGGTTGTCTTCTCTTTTGTCTGCCCTAGCCAGTAAATCTCTTTGGTGCCTCCTGATATATTCCACTGCTGAATTTTCTCAATGACGAAGTGGACCGTTTGACCTACAGCTTTGTATGACCTCCTCTTCCACTTACCCGAAAGGAATAATGAAAATGGAATCAGCCTTGGAATGTGTGTTAAGACCGTAAGATGAAAATAACCAGCATAAGCCAGGCAATATTTTACTGTTGCTTTCATGAATGAAAATGCCCTTAGTTTTACTTTTCTATATAGCCAGAAACGAAAAAGCTTTGAACACGTCCACTAGTCTTACACAAAGCGCACTTAGTCATAAATTTCATAATGCTTCCTCTTTCTACATAGTTCTCCATTTGTGTTTAGTAAAATACTTTGATCCATCAATTATTTTTCTCATCCAAAAGAAAATAAAGACTTTTAAATGAGTGTTATGAACAGTTAACTCCTTGCTTAATAAACATATCTGTATCCATGACTACTTTATAGTAAATGTCTTACTAATGTTTTGATTTCATAGACCATCCTACATGATTTCCAGTCCCCAGCAGAATGTATTCACATAAACTCGGTTCTCCAAGTGTCAGATTTTAAAAATTGGACGCTTTTTACAGACTCCTCAGCCCCATCTTTCTGCCCCTGTTTCACAGGGTTGCATGATCTGTTTATTAATTCTCTTTTATCCATACTTGATAGAAGCATTTTATAATGTAACAGTGGAAAATACTATATTTTCTGTCTGAAAACAACCCCTTTAAAAATTCTCCTGGACTATTAGAGAAAGAATTACCAGCTTACATTTTGAGACAGTGGAGATACCACATTTCCCAACATTGCTTTTTCTTTTGGGAATTTTTTCTTTTTCTTCTGGAATTACTAAGAATTCACTCTAGGGTACCTCTAATTTATGATAGCCTGCTAAATTTTATGTGATTTTAAAGATTTTTTTCTAGCTCCTTACCTCTCATGAGGTCAGTATGGGTAGTGCGCAAATGTTCTGTATTAGTCCAGTGATACTTTTACTGAGTTTAGCATGGTCTTGCTTGCTCCTAGAAGATTTTAATTGTACCTTAAAAAGAATGGGATGCAAATGCAGCCCAGAGAACATAAATGAGATACGTTGGATGTATATTAACAGAATGGTTTGTATTAAAAGTTTAGGTCTCTAATGTGATCATGGACTATAACATAAACAATTTTATATCAGACAATTGTTATATCAGACAATTGTTATATCAGACAATTACCATTCAACTTGTAAGACTTAGCTGTAAAAAAGAAAGTACAAAAAGAAAAAGAAAAGTGCATTGCCTGAAAAGTTTCCTTGCAACTTGGAAAAGTGGTGTTTAGATTTTTCCTTAGGTTGTGTAATCAGAGTATCTTTATTGAGAGGCACCCTCTGGGTTTTGGGTTTTGACTTGTGTAATTGGGTCAGTCTTAGGGGACTGAAGCTAGAAGAAATTGTCTCAATTAGAAAGAATGTTTGGGGACTCAGTGTTGTCATGACAACTGGTATACTGTAATCAACAGTGTAAGAAGCTCATTTTCTATTGCTGACTTGGAAAAAAAGCTTATTGTACAATTACTACATTGCCATGATGAGAAATATTTTTGGATTGTAAGATCTGTGTTTAAATCATTTGGAAGGAAATGCTTTTATCCTTGTTATCTGTATGCTGCCTCCCATAACTAAGCAAATTATTCAATATATATGTTCTCAAACACCAAGGAAAACTCAAAATTATAAGAATTATTTTCCCTGCCCTTGAAGAGCTGACTGGCTTTTTTGAGTTAAAACAGGAAATATTTAAGTATCACGGGAAGATGAGTAGTATAGAAAAGTAGCTTTCATCTTCTAGTTATTCATACCAATACTCTTTCTAGACAATAGAAATGATGGCATAGGTATGAAAATTGTGATTTTGAGTATGGACAACACATCTGTGTCCATTCAGGTTCCTCAGTTATAAAATCAAACCTGGTAAAAATTTCTCTACTGTTTAATAAGGTAAAGGCCTGTCCTGAGGGTTAGACAGTACTGGTCACCTCTGAGGATAGAACTTGGGCCAGAGATTGGGCAGGACAGAACCAGTCTTAGTATAAGGCAGATCATAATTCCCAGAGTTGTTCTTCAGTGGAAAGGGTGGCTTTGTGAAGAACTGATCTCCATGTTGGTCAAAACATTCAGGCAGAGGTAGGGTGGAGACCTACTAGGAAGAAGTGTCTGCATTGAGTAGGGGGCTAGATGCTGTTTTTAGCCTTTTAAGTACGTGAGGTATTCTAGTTATCCATTGTTGCATACCAAACCACCCCAAAACTTAATGGCATAGAATAATGGCAAGTACTTATTTTGCTCACAACTCTGCAATTTGTGTAGGGCTTAGTTAGGTTGGCTCTTTGCTTTATCTGGCATCAGCTGCAGCAGCTTGACTGGGGGTTGGAGGATCTGCTTTCAATATGACTTAATCACAGAGCTGGCTGGCAAGTTGATGCTGGCTTTTGGCTGGAAGCTCAGCTGGGGCTAAGGGCCAGAGGCCTCTTCCTGTAGCCTGGGCTTCCCCACAGCGTGATGGCTGGGTTCCCAGGGCAAGTGTCCTAAGAGAGACTGGCAGAAGCTGCATGGCTTTTTCTAACTAGCCTCTTAAGTGATGTAGCATTACTTCTGCTATATTTTGTTGGTTGAGGCAATCACAGATGTCCACCTGCATCCAAGGGGAGGGGACCTCTTGATGGGAGAAGTGTCAAACTTGTCGACATGTTTTAAATCCTTTACATAAAGTTGTTGCTGCTTAAAGGAAGTAACTAGTTCTTTGTTTATTCATTTTAAAATAGCTTTATTGAGATAAATTCATATGCCATACAGTTTACTAATTTAAAGTGTACAATTCAATAGTTTCAGCAAGTCCACAGGGTTATGTTACTATCACTATGATCTAATTTTAGAACTTTTTTATCCCTCACAAAAGAAACCCAGATCCATAAGTAGTTACTCCTCACTCCTCCTAGCCCCTAGAAACTACAGTTTTACTTTCTATCTCTATAGATTTGCTTATTTAGGACATTTATCAGTGGAATCATACAATATGTGGTCTTTTGTTACTTCACTTAGTGTGTTTTTGAGATTCATCCATATTATAGCATATATCAGTAGTTTATTCCTTTTTATTGCTGAATGACATTAACAGAGTAGATATTTTATTTCATTTTATTTATAAATAAATTTTATTTTACTGTCCGTTTTGTTTATCCATTCATTAGTTGATGGATATTTGGCTTGTTTCCACTTTTTGGCCATTACAAATAATGCTGCTATGAATATTTGTGTACAAGCTTTTGTGTAGACATATGTTTTAATTTCTCTTCGATATATACTTAGGAGTGGAATTCCTGGGTCGTATAGTAACTCTGTGGTTAACTTTGTGAGAATCTGCCTAACTGTTTTTCAAAGTGTCTGCACCATTTACATTTTCACCAGCAGTGTATGGGGGTTCCAATTTCTTCACTCATATAAAGTGGGAAAAGGGGAAAAGTGCATGGAGTGGAAAGTGTATGGGACTGGGGTTTTAATTTGCATTCTGCCCTGTACTATATCTCACTGGTCAAGTCATTTAGCTTTTCCAGCCCTCAATTTCCTAAGATCCCTTCCAGTTCTTTAATTCTTTGAGCATCTTAAGAGAAGAGGTAAGCATCAGTAGAAGCATTCAGGCACATCTGAATGAACAGAGAGAATGGGATAGGATGTAAAATTAGATTAAAAATCAATTAGATGATATGAATTCTATTTTGTGGTTATATATTTAGCAACATGGTGTGTTATATAAATATAATACTTCACCTTCTCTTGTCATCAATGTATATAAGATCAAGGTACTGGTATTTGTTATTTTCACTCATGAAATTACCTTTCAGCTACATAGCTATGTTGCCTTGAAACTGACTTAACAATGTTTAAGTTTTAAATAATTGGTTATTTTAATTGAAGTGTAATTTACATAATGTAAAATTTACCCTTTTGAAGTGTACAGTTCTATGAGTTTTGACAGACAAATACAGTCATGTAACTATCACCATAATCAAGATATAGAACAGTACCATCATCCCCCACAAATTTCCTCATGCTCCTTTGTAGTCAACTCTGCCTCCAGCCTCTGATCTGTTTTTTATCCCTATAGTTTTATCTTTTTGAGAATGTCCTATAAATGGAATCATGTAGTAGGTAACCTTTTGAGTCTGGCTTCTTTCACTTAGCATGACACATTTAAGATTCATCCATGTTGTTGCATGTATCAGGAGTTCCTTTTTATTGCTGAGTAGTAGTCCATTTTATGGATTTACCACATTTGTTTATCCATTCACCAGTTGAAGGACATTTAGGTTGTTTACAAATTCTGGTAATTATGAATAAAACTACCATAAACATTTGCATACAGGTTTTTGAATAAACATAAGCTTTCATTTCACTTGAGTGAATACCTAGGAGTAGGATTTCTGAGTCATATGGAAATTGTATATTAAACTTTATAAGAAAGTGCCAAACCCTTTT